ACACTGAAAGACGAACCAATAAATGGCTGCGAATCTGCTGGAAAGCTCTTAGATTAACCACAAGTGGAAGATGACATATTCAGACAGGCCCAGTTAAACTGAATACTGTTTCATGGCAGTTTTTAATGAATAAAGATAAATGACAGTCAAAAGGAGGGAACAATGCATTAAATGTCCTAGACCTGACTGCACATATGAGCAATTACATCAATTTTTGCTTCCAAAGACGAATCTTACATATTCTTTTTCCAACTCAACATATTTAACAAGAAAAAAAAAATAATACTGACATAATCATTATCACTTCCTGCCACTTCAGCAAACGACAACACTTTCTCATTAGTTTGACAAATCATTTATCTTGCATGAAATAACAACAAACTCAGAATTCCACAGCAACAGCAGCCAGTTCCAGATGGCCGTACTGGTTTACTCTCGGGGCGTAGCTCTCTTTGAACAATGAGCTGATCGTAAGGTAAATAAATGAAATGTTCCAACCCGCTGGACTGAATAGAAATGTGCAAAAAAGCGTCAAATGCTTACACAAAAAGTCTTTGTTGTAAATAAAGCGTCCCATGAAAACAGATGCTTATTTCCTCTTTATATGTACTTGGCATCACTTTATTAATTGTGCTGGCACTAGATAGTCTATAACTAGCTTAGATACACAAGTACTGATGAAGTCTATTGAATAACAGATAAAACTACAGTAATGATGCAGGTTAACACCAAGCGTTCTCAGTTACTTCTATAGTAGTAGCTGTAGGGCCATGGCCTTTTCTTCTCAATAACGGCTGTAAAGATCTAACCCTGAAAGATACTGAGAAATCATCTAAAAATCACTGAACCTTGACACCAGCAAAGGCCATGGAAAGCTGAAGTCTGAAAAAGCTAAGGAGAAAGCAACATTTTAATGACATGAACTTGAAACCGGTGTGGGGGAACTGGCTGTGCATAAAACACCTCAATAAAGAGCCAGAAGTTCAAGGTATTTCAGATGTGATCCCTACTCCTTCGCATTCAGCAACCAGCTACTTCAGCTGCAAATTAAAGCAGAGCTCCTCAACAGCCCACACAAGCCTGACACTGCTCACCTTACGCAACTTTGCTCAGAAAGCCAAAATGCTGACCTCTGCTAGGTAATGCAATGACATAAAAGAGAAGTGGCAGGCATAAGGATAAATTAAATGCCAAAATTGTGAGGTTAAATTGAAGACAATAATTGACCATGTTTGTGAATATCAATACTGCCAACTACAGAACATAAAGTATAAAAGTAAACTCATTCCTTTAATATTTGTCACAAAATTCTTGTGTTAGGGTACGAACATCAATACCTAAATAAGTAAATAAGCGAATTCTGAAAATTGTATTTACTAAGTACAACTGAATTGCATTAGACAATGTAGTAAGAACAGCAGATCACTGGCAGGATTTAAACAGACACTTGAGGTACAAAAGAAGAGAAGGAACAAGGTAGTTCTGTAGTATGGAACTACAGGAACAGAAGTAACACAGAAAGGCAAAATTGACACAAGAAAGCAAAGAGAAGAAAAAGAAGCTGAAAATATGAATAGCCTCTTTGACAGGCTCAGCCCTAACACATTGAAAATCCAAGACAAACTTGAGAACACAGAGCAAAAAAAAGGAAATGGAATGATATCATGTCTTTTTAGTGCTAAAGAATCTGCAAACTTTTTATTTTGGAAGTTAAGATACTGAGTACCCACTGTCTCTTTCTATTCCAGCCTCCAGCAAAATGTCATGATTTCATACTTGGTTTCTGAAGGCAGTAAGCCCTTTCAATGATTAATGACTTCATGCTTTAAGAAATACCATTCTCATTTCAGGGCAGTTAGAAAACCAGATAACTTTGCCACAGTTTCATCTAAAAATCCAAAATAGTTTGTTTCTACAGGGTTTCTATACCTTTAAGATAAATCAATATTTGCAATCAAGTTCCTTTAGTCAAGACAAGAGAGGAAATGATAGCAATAGATAAAACACATGGCAAAACAAATAATAAAACACAGTAAACTTTACATATTACAGGTGATGGCAGTAGTTAAAACATACAGTTTTCATATATTACATGTAAATGCTAATTATACCAGTTTTCTCCCTGTCCCATATGCATCTAGCCATTAAAAATGCAAAATGTGGTATCCGTTCTTCATCTTTAAATTAAATAGTCTCAAAATTGAAACATGTTAAGTGCAAATCATCTTGTTAAAAAAATTACCCTAGCATCTTCAGTAATCGTACTGCTCTTTTACATACTGGTAATATGGCAATAAACAAGTCAACAACTAAAGATACAGTGCTGCAACAGTGGCACTGCTAGTGGACAACAGCTCTGCAAAATAAAGGAGTGATTGATCAGAGGGTACTTTTAGATATCAAAATTAAAAAAATCAATCTCTGCAATGTGGCTGGGTTTTAAAGCAAAGGGCTCCTCTTCTGCAAAAGCCCATAATCTGCATCCCATGACAGAAGTGCAGGAAAAAAGCAGTGCACTCCACCCAAGCGCAACCCACGCAGGTAACTTCAGGTTCTCTAATTAAAGTTTTTCCTAACAGTACATCAGAATTAACTTCATGCAAACGTGTTTTTACAGATTTTCTAACTCTTATACAGGACGCTATCCTTAAACGTTCAGAAGGGAGGTTTGCGTATGACAGCTTTCCTTACCTTTAAAAACAACGGAAACGATCGGATCTGGCTTCCCAAACTTGGTTTTGGGGATATTGGACGCAGATTCTACGATCACCCGGAGCATCGCTCCGAGCCGTCACTGAAAGCAGAGCCACGTAAGGAAGCTGCGGGCTCCCAGGCGCAGCTCAGGGCGGCAGCGCGAGCAGGAAGAGGCGGCAGGGAATGGCACGGCACAGCCGGAGCTCGGGGTGGGTCTATGACGAACTGCTCCCGAAGGCTATGACAAATTCAGTGCCTGTAAATTGACACCAAGCGCCGCGTTTTTTGCACAAAAGGAGATCTGACTGGTGAGATCCAGCGACAGATAGGGCAGATTTTTCGGTGCGCATCAGTAACCAAGGCAAGCATGAGCAACGTATTCAAGGCAACTCCAGCAGTCAGGATGCATCGCATCTGTCTCTACACCAAGGCACTGCATTCCATGGCAGCTTTTTTCTCCCTTCCTTTTTAGAACTTCGCAGTCCGTCCGCACGGCCCCGCGGCCTCGCGCGCCCCCTGCTGCCAGCTGCGGGATCTCCGCGCGCCCAACGAGGATCGGCCGCACAACAGCTGCGCTTGGAATGGACCCACCAGCAGCACGCAGCGCACCTGCTGCCTCCACACACGGCCACCCAAAGTCACACCGTGCGCTGTGCAGGCGATTCCTGAACTTTGCCAAGAAGGATGTGCCAAACTACTGCCTTCGCTGCATTTAATGCAATGTATTTAGTAGATGTCTCGAAAAGACATGACCAGAAGTCATAAGTAAAACTGTACAAGAATTAAGCAAATATGTGCAGTAAACAACCAAGACAATGAGACCCTGTGTATTGGAGGCCTATATTTTAAACACAAACACATGCAGTAAACTCCACTAAAAAAAATCTTGCTAAAAATTGCTTGGCAAGAACAAGAACTCTTTGCTCCAAGTTACCCCATCCTCAGTTTTATCATGGTTTTTCTCAGCTATGAGCCAGATGTAAAAAAAGAAGTGGTTCATGCTACTTCTGCAAAATCTGTGTTTTTTAAGCGGAGATGAGGGCAGCCAACAAAACAGCACAGAATGAGTCCTCCACAAAGGTCAACCAAGTTTTTATGTGGGGACCCACAGGAACTACCTGTAACTTATTATTTTTGAAGCTGGTATGAAACTTGCTTCCTTTTTCAGATGAATCACAGCATTGCTAAGGTTGGAAAAGACCTCTAAGATCACCAAGTCCAACATCAGCCCCCACCCTCCCCCCACTGACCATGTCCATCAGTGCCACAGCAACACGTTTCTTGGACACCTCCATAGGCGGTGACCCCACCACCTCCCTAAGCAGTGCGTTCCAGTGCATCGCCACCATTTCTGAGGAGAAATGTGTCTTTAACATCCAACCTGAACCTCCCTTGGTGCAACGTAAAGCTATTACCTCCCCTCCTATTGCTGCTACCTGGAAGAAGACACCAACCCATCCTGCCTCCACCGCAGCTTCTTTTCAGGCAGTTACAGAGAGAAGATGGCTAGATTTTAGGTAGCGGTGAGGAATCCAAGAGAAAAGAAGCAATGCAACATGGCACATTCAGGAAAGGTGATGAGAACAGAAGGACTGTAGCCCTAACTGGACTCAAAGAACTCGGATAAGCACTACTCTAAGCCTTTTAGCCCTCCTGGCTGCCACTTACCTTCCTGTCTGAATGCCTCACACAGAGCAGGACAGCCACGCTTAACAAGCAACACGTGGAGTGCATGCCTGTCACCAGCCCACATTGTAAAACCACCTTCTCATTACAAACTAAAAAATCCCATTAAGCAAAAAATTAATTATGACTTTATACAAGAGAAACAACCAGCACCATACCCTACTCAGATCAGCTCCAGGTGTGCTGGTACAGCCAAATGAAGCCTCGCATCACTGCGGCCAGGTGTGAGTGCAAGAGCTGGGGCAACACGGGGTGAGCAGAAGGCCCCACCGTATTGGCCAGGCAGCTCTGCCACTGCCGCGGCAGCCAATGGGGAGCCTCCTCTCAAGCCCGCAGCAGCGCATGACCGGCCATTAACGGCCACCTGGCCTAGGGCAGCACGTGCGCCTCAGCCTCGCGCCTCAGCCTCGCCCCTTCGCCCCGCCCCTTCGCCCCGCCCCCGCAGAAGCGCTCGTCAATCCCCGCTGCCGCTCTATTTTAACCCTTGGGGGACACCGTAGCTCTCGCTTCACTTGTGAGGCGGCGTGGGCGGAAGTGACGATGGTGCAGCCGCGGTATTCAAACTCCCGGAAGCGAAGCAGCGACTGAGTGGGGTGGCTGCTGCCCTGTGCCGCCCGGGTCTGTGGGCCGCCTGGTTCAGCCGCAGGGGAACCGTGCTGCGGGTGTGGGGCTCTGCGGGAGCTGAGAGCCCTGTGTCGTCTGAGCTCCCTCAGAGCTGCGGAAGAGGTCCTGCTAGGGGGAAAGGTCTGCATAGGCGCTGGAAAATGAATTCCAAGACGGCCAAGGGCGTTATTATTGGCAAATGGGGTTTAAAGTCCGGTAGCTCCAGGCTAGAGAGCGATCTCGAGAAGTACAAGCAGGAGAATGCAGCCCTAAGAAAATCCCTGGAGGAAATCGCCAAAGGCAAGGGCCGAGCAGAGGAGCCGGAGCGGAGCCGGCTGTTGGAGGTGAGGGATGCGCTGTGACGCTTCTGTCATCAATTATTTCCCCGTGATGACTGAGCAGATGGAGTCTTTTATATTGTTAAATATAAAGGCTCGAGGCCGGAGCACTACTGAGTCTGTTTGGTCCTGCCCTGGTGCGTCCAGCTGACCTGAATGCATCGGGTCCTTTGCATGAACGAGGCACCTTCTCATCCATGAGTAAATAAAACTGTAACTAATTCCTCATGTTGTTATTCTATGCTCATTTCAGAGCAAAAACTAAAACACTGCTACTTCCATGCCTTGTAGTCCATTAAAGGTAAACCTGTGACTGCAGAGAAAGAAGTTATGCTTGATGTGTGATGCTGTCAGGCTTTCCAAAAACACTGGGAAACTTTAAGTGGACTCTCAAGGAATACAATTAACAGGCCAGGCACAGTATTTCTGGGCGGCTACTTCATAATGGTTTTGCTGTGTCTGTGCTGTAGTGTCAGTTCTGATGCTAGTTTAAGTACAAGCTATGGCTCATTGCCATGGCAAATTCCTATTGTGTATTTCTTGTGTGTGGTGGAGTATGCTGTTTGCTGAATGTTGGTTACTTCATAGCCAGCTACTAGCTTACACGTGGACAATTATAGGTATACTTAAGTATACCATTAGGCATCCATGTTCTAGCTTCAGTGAGTGTTGGGTGTGGTCACTGTGGTCATAAACCACTCCCTAACTGAGGTCTTA